ACGAATCAAAGCAGAAAAATTTGGGATGCCTAATCAGCTATTTTTCAACCTTGTTTGACCAATATCTTCGTTAAATGTTCTGATTTATGACTGAAAATTTTATTATAGACTTCTCACTATAATCCCAACATATTCTGTAAATTTTACATCATTTGAACGCTCCTAGGTTGAAGTCGATTTTTCAGAATGCTAGGAGCTTAAACAGAAGAAGACAGAGAAGGATACAAATGCACTCCTTTCGTCTAAGAAAAGAAATATTTTATAAATTTTGATGGTGTTATCATTATTACTGAACGTCTTCCAACTTCTTCCAGTGATAAAATTATTTAGATGCCTGCAAATCTCTTTATAATCATAGCATAATTTTAAAAGTCTTATGAAGTTTTAAAACATCGTCTTCAAATATTTCTGCACTTGCAACTATTCGAAACACATTTTGTCAAAAATTGTTTATCTTTTTCTATTATGCTGTCGATCAATGTAATATTTTTCTTTTGTAAATGCTTTATTCAGAACTATTGATGGGCATGGCCACGCATTGATCATCCTTACAAGGGAAAGCTTTAAAAATAGAAAATTGAGAAATACTGTCCCGCAAATCAGCAGGTTGCTGCCATCTATATTGGAACTGATGTAGGGTGTGGGTGTGGGTGTGGGTGTGGGTGTGGGTGGGTATGGGTGTGGGTGTGTGCGAGTGTGAGTGTGGGCGTGGGTGGGATGTGGGTGTGGGTGTGGGTGTGGGTGGGTGTTGGGTGTCGGTGTGGCTGTGGGTGCGGCTGTGGGCGTGTGGATGTGGATGTGTGGTGTGGGTGTGGGTGGAGTGTGGGTGTGGGTGTGGGGCTGTGGGTGTGGATATGCTTCTCGTTTAAACCTTTACAAAGTCACGTCCACACCCACACCCACACCCGCACCCACACCCACACCACCCACACCCACATCCACACCCCACCCACCAACACCCACACCCACACCCACCCACCCACACCCACACCCACCCACCCACACCCACACCCACACCCGCAC